GAAGATGGAGTGTGGTGACATGGAAGGGACACAGCACAGTGCCACTTCTGAAGGGACAGAGAAGCGTGACATGCTGGAAGGAACAAAGCTCCGAGACATGCCAGAGATGTCCCACTGGAGAAAAGTGCCCAAGGTCCACGGGTTCCTCTTGGTATCACTCACAGTGCTCTGCCGCTTCTACTTCTAGGCAGCCTGCGGGGACGTCTGGGGAACGGGCGAACAACCGCCTCCTGCAAACGCCCTCATCGTCGAGGGGAGGAAACGTTTCCTACGGGGAGGCCCACAGACGTGGACCAAGGATCACACTGATGAAAACGCGCCTGCAGCGTCAACGCTGCAGGCTGACGGGCGGTGAAGCCCACTGGTGAGGGCAGAGACCGAAGATGAGCACATCTGTCCTCTGTGCAATGAGTCATTCTCTCCAGATGGCTCCACTGCACAAACACTGGCTTTCACTTTAAATTTAATTTTGGCTTTTTATCTCTGGATATATTTGAGGGTTTTGCTTGTGTTTACTGTCACCATTTCCTTCCTATACCCACCTCCGTTTGCTGTGTTCTCTCCTCCTTTGTAAAGGTATGGCTGCTGGCAAAGATGCTCCTCCTCGCGCCAAGGGTCCCACCCACAAGGGGCTGTGCCTACTGCCGACGACCACACAGGCCAGCTGGCGCCAAGGCTGCCGCGGATGGAAACGTTGGCTCCTGCCTGGACCCGTGGTGGGGCTGAGGCGGTCTCTGCCTGAGGACCAGGCCTCCCTGTGGCTCAGCTCTGGCTGCACCCCTAAAGGGCAGGTGGAGAGGAAACTTCCCTCCTTGTTGAGCTCTTCCCAGTTCCTCCCAGTCTGCCTGCTACTGGGAGTTGGGCCCAGGGGCTGGATCCCCTTTAGCTGTCAAGTATAGACCACTCCTGGGCTGTGTCTCTGGGAGAAGCTCCCTAAGCCACCCCTTCCTCTTCCTTCTTCTTAGACCAAAATAAATGATTTGGGTCTTTAGAAAAAGTTTCAGATGCCTTGAAGTGATTTGGGGGAGGCCCACCCAACACTGCAAAACTCACACTCTGAAGGTGCAGTTGGGACCAGCCCACCATCCCTCGTTTAGTCTTTCAGCTGACATTTTTGAGTGCCTACTATGTGCCAGCACTGCTGGGAAGCAGGCATGGACAGAGCTCATGGTCTAGGGAAGTAGACAATGAGACATGAGCGGTGATGGCCAGCACCTAGTGTGGCCCGCTATTTCCCTGCCTAGGTTATCATCACGTTCAAGCCATGGAGCCACCCCATGTGGAAGGACCAGAATCAACCACATTTCACAGAGGAGGAGACTGAGCTCAGCCAGGGGACCGAGTAAATGGGCCCTCTGTGCACGTGCACATGGCAGGAGCGCCCGCAGGGAGGAGGCCTCCTGTGACTGAAGTGGGAGGTCAGCTAGCTGGATAACAGAGGGACAACATGTGGGAAGAGAGGGCGAGCCAGGGGTGTGAAGAGGCCAGAGTGCAGAATCGTGGGAGGTGGGGAGGCAGGGAGGGCAGGGTGGGCAGGGGCTGGACCTGCAGGCATCAGGTGCTTTGGGATCCTGAGTCCCTGGCAGCTTCAGCCAGGAAGGGATGGGATCAGATTTGCTGGCTGCTGCTGGAAGATGAAAGGGCGGCAGGAACACCCACCAGGAGGCTATTAGAGGAATCCAGGCAAGTTAGCAGCAAAAAAGAAAAGACAAGGGAACAGCATCAAGAGAAGCCAGCAATTAGAAGTAACAGGACTCAGAGTACTAGACTTCTGGAGGGAGGGCCCAGGGGTGACTCTCTTGCTTGAACATGTGGGCAGAGGGTGTACCAATTCCAAAGACAAGCCACACTGGAAGAGAGCAGGTGCAGGAGAAGACATGTGGAGTCTGAGTTGCATGAAGATACTTATTGCCGTCTTGACGATGTTAAGTCCTCTACTTCATGAACATGGGATGTCCTTCCATTTATTTAAGTCTTCTAACTTCTTTCAACAGTGTTTTGTTTTCAGCACTCAAGTTTTGCACTTCTTTTGTTAAATTGATTCCTGGGTATTTTTGATGCTACTGTAAATGAGGTGTTTTTTTCCTAATTGAGTTATAGTCGATGTACAATATTATATAAGTTACAGGTGTACAACATAGTGATTCACAATTTTTAAAGGTCATACTCCATTTATAGTTATTTTAAAATATTGGTTATATTTCCTGTTGTACAGTATATCCTTGTAGCTTATTTATTTTATACATAAGAGTTTTTACCTCTTAGTCCCCTATCCCTTTTCTTAATTGCATTTTCAGCTTGTTCATTTCTCATGTACAGAAAATCCTGCAACTTTGCTGAACTCGTTTATTAGTTCTAATATTTTTTAAGTGTCTTCCTTGGGATTTTTCACATATAAAATCATGTAGTGTGCAAGTAGAAATAGTGTACTGCTTTCTTTCCAACGTGGATACCTTCTATTTCATTATCTTGCCTAAACTGCCCTGGCTAGAAGCTCCAGTACAATGCCAAATAGAAGTAGTGAGCACAGACATCCTTGTCTTATTCCTGATCTTAGAGGGAAAGCATCCAGTCTCCTCATCGTTGAGTATGATGTTAGCAGTGAGTTTTTGCAGTTGTTATCCTGTTGAGGAAATGCCGCTCTTTCCTATTTTGCTGAGAGTTTTTGATTTTGTTTTAGTTTGGGTTTTTTTTTTATGAATGGGTGTTGGATTTTGTCAGGTGCTTTTTTTGCATCTATTAAGATGATCATGTGGTTCCTGTTCTTTCTTTACACGTTACATTGATTCATTTTCACGTATTAAACCAACGTTGCATTCCTGGGATAAATTACAGTTGGTCACGGTGTATAATGATTTTCTCATGTGGCTGGATTTGGTTTGCTAATATTTGGTTGAGTTCCTGTGTCTATATTCATAGAGGTCTATAGTTTTCTTTCTTTATGAGGTCTTTGTCTGGTTTGGGTATCAGGGTAATACTGTCTTCATGGAATGAATTAGGAATTGTCCCCTCTTCTATTTTTTTTAACTGGTTTGTGAAGGACTGATATTAATTTTTGCCTGGAGACGTTTAAGGGTAAGTATTAAGTTGGATGGAAGGTCCAGAACACAGCAGAGAGGCTGGCGCTAGAGACTCAGACTGAGGGGAGAGAAGACAGTGGACCAGCCTAGCTAAGAAGTGAACCTGGTAGAGGAAGCCCAAGTCAGGCAGATGAGATTGTGCAGGAGAGCAAACAGAGATGTCAGGTTAAGAAAGAGGGTTCTTTCTGCAGAGGAGACTAAGAGGGCACAACCAGGGCCCTGGGAGGAGGACCAAGACAGCCGCCACAGGAAGGGAGCACTTGCGCCTGAGTTATTACTCAGGCCAAACACAAAGAGCACAGGAACTTGGCAGCAAGAAGTCCAGAGCCCTTCAAGGAGGTGGTAAGGGTGGAGCCAGCGTGCTATGGTTGAGGCAGGATGAGGAAGTGGAGACCCTCAAGCCCCTGTTTTCCTGAAGGAGGAAAGGTTTCCTCTTACAGGGCCTTTTTTGAGAATGAGATTTAACCCGAAACCCCAGCTGGGCCCGGCAGCAGGTCCCTCCCAGTACAAGAGGGGCTGCTTGGGCTAATCCTGGAATCCCAGGATGCAAGTATCTCTGTGTTTCTGCTAGGAAAGTGAAGGCCCCAGGCACTGGAAGGACTACAAGAAGGCACTCAGTTGGGGATTCTAGCTCTGCGGGTAGCGTCTATTCTGGGAGGTTCTGTCCCTCAGGAAGTGTGGCTGCTGGTTGGTGATGTAACAAGGGAAACCTGGTGTGAGGCAGGGAGCCTCGGAAAGCTCATGGGGGAGATTAAGGCTTCGGCTCAGCCCAAACGAGGCCAGCCCTGAAGCTGAGCCGCTCCTACAGCTTCTCCAACAGAGGTCAGAGCCCTGCCAGACCACCAGACAGGTTGGGTCGGGGAGATCAAGGAGTCCCCATGCCTCACCCCCCCCACCGCCGAATGTCCCAATTTCTTTGTTTTACTTATTTATTTATTTTTATTTATTTTTTTTTTGGCTGCGCTGGGTCTTTGCTGCTGCGCGCGGGCCTTCTCCAGTTGCAGAGAGCGGGGACCACTCTTTGCTGCAGTGCGCAGGCCTCTCACTGCAGTGGCCTCTCTTTCTTGCGGAGCAGGGCTTCTCATTGCGGTGGCTTCTCTGGTTGCAGAGCACGGGCTCCAGGCTCACAGGCTTTAGGAGGTTTGGGCCCCCCCCCCCCCCCCCCCGCCGCAGCCTGGCTTCTCCTCCCCTCCGCCCCCCGCACCCCGCCGAGGGCTCTCCAGCCTCCTTAGCCAGTTTCACTGCGGGAGAAGCAAGGCAGGTGGAGGCACAGGTGGGAGCTCTCTGGAGGGAGGCCTGGCAGACAACAGGGGGAGGGCTGGGGGGGAGGTCGGCCTCAGGCCAGCCTGAGCTTATGCAGGTGACTTGGCTTTGGAGAACACAGCTGTTTGGGGGGAAGACCTTAAGGAGCTGCCCTGTTCTGAGCTCTCATCCCTGGGGCGGGGGTGGGGGCCTCTTACAACTGACCCTCCTCCAGCAAGAGCCCACTTGGGGTCGTACCTGTGACCTTCCTTCCTGTCGCCCCATGTGGGGAGGGGGCAGACCTGGTGAGCAGGGCCACACCCAGCCACACCCCATGGGCCTGTTCACTGAGCGTCTGGCTCAGGCAGTGCTGCCTGGACCAGCTGTTCCTTCCCCCACCCAGCTCCCTGCCCCCACCTTGTCCCTAGATGCTTGGCCCTGCTCTGTGCTTTCCCAGGGGACTCGACCACAGCAGACAGCAGGGATGCCTCGCACCCGGCCCTGGACCCTGGGTTCAGCCTGTGACCCTGTCCTTCTGGGCCCGGCATTTCCCCTTTGGCAGCAGAGAGAGGAGAGACGTGACCTGCCCCAGAAACATCAGGTGCCATTCAGACCAATATAAAGAGATTCAGCGCGTTTATTCGAGCATGGAGTCAGCAGGTGGGGCCAGTAAGAGACTCAAGGTTTCCACTCAATGACTTTGACGGCGATCTGGGCTGCCTGCTGCACAGCCGCACTGGTGTCCTCCTCGAGGGCCCGGAAGGTGGGCACGTGGGACTGCAGGAGCTTGCGGCCCTCGGGGGCCTCGGCCAGCATGGTGAGGACCTTGATGGCATTGAGACGTGCCTTGCTCAAGGATGAGTGCAGTAGCTCCAGCAGCGGACGGATGGCCTCCGTGTCCAGGGCCGCATACTTCCCTGCAGGGCACCAACGCCAGGCGTTCCTAGGGTTCCCTGCCCACCTCCCTTGCCCCCCAGCCCTCCCAACGCAGGCTCCACACCCTCCCTGCCCCCAGCCTGGGCCCCGCAAGCTCCCCAGCCGGCTTCTCCCCAGCCACCAGGTACCTGTCCCGCAACCCAGTCCTCTCAAGGCAGCATGAGGGGTCTTTTGAAAATTAAAATCCAATCGAATGAGAAGGGGAGACGCCCCTCCTTAATCCTTACTTGCTGCCCACCCCCTCACCCGCTGAAATGCCACGCTGCCGCCCCCTGCCCCCAACCCCCAACCCTCCTACACCGAGCACTCTGCTCTTTGCTGCCAGACCGTCCAGCCCCTTTTGCCCTGCTAGCTCCCCTCTCAGAGGATGCTCTGCCCCCACACTGTGCCCACTGTCTCCCCCAGGTCACTCTTCACTCTGCCGCCCCTGCCAACCTCAGACAGCAGAGGCTGAGACGTCTGGGTCCCCATCATCCAGCACAGAGCCTGGCCTGTGTTAGGGGCTCAGGGCTCCTCGGCTGGAGTGCTAGCTCAGGGAAGTGACCTCACCTCCCCCAAATTCCCATGTTGTCCGGGCCCCATGAGAGCCCCCCAGCCCTCCAAGCATTCCTACAGGAAGCCCAGGTAAGACACTGACTGCACTGAGGACGCCCGCGAGATCCACGCTCATGGGGAGCCCCACACTGGGGGTCGGCACCCTGACTGCACGATCAGTCAGAAGGGGGCTGTGGACTCTGGGAAGGCCACAACCTCTCCGCCTGGTGCGTCTCAGATTTCACCATCAGGACGAACTGAGGAGTGGCAAGGAGTCCCAGCTCTGGGGGGATCTGCAGACTGCTGATTGAGAATCAGAGGCCCAGGTAGTTAGTTCTCCGTGGATCAGCAAGGAAGCTCAGGGCATGGGGCTGGCACAGGCAAGGGAAGGTCAGACAGCTTTCAGGGCCCAGGCCCTTCCTACTGCCCAGGTCAGGTGACTGAGCATGGAAGCCTGGCTGCTGGGAGTCCGCATGGGGGAGGTAGCCTTACGCTCCTATGCGCCCCCTCCACACTGAAAAAAGTAACATTGATCAAGAAACACGGCAGAAGCAAGGGCTCCAGTGTTTGCTTAGACCTCAGCATAACAGACTCATGGGTGGCAAACGAATCAATCCCAGAATTTCGGCTCACAAGAGGCCTGGGTCAGATGCAAGAATTCCAAAACCATGGAACAGAGGGAATAACAGGGAGGGGCCCCAGGTGGTGGGCCCTCTGTGGCCTGGAAGGAGAGGGCGGAGCCTGGGACCAGGGAGGGGCAGTACTCAGCTTGCTAGGGGGCTGCGGTGACCCCCCACCCTGTAGGCACCGACGCCCAGCCAGCAGGCAGCCTCACCTTTGGTGGTCACTGTGACGTACATGAGGGCCCCAGCTGCACTGGCCTGCACCTCCTCTTCCTTGTCCTTCAGCAGGTGCACCAGGATGGGGATGACGTCGTGCTGCCACACCTGGTTCTTGCCCTCCAGGGGGATGCTGGGCCAGAGAGGGGGCAGCTGGGTGGCTGCACTTGGAGGAAGAGGGGGAAAGGACCACCCCAGGGGGACACCAGGGGAAAGGACTTGTGTTGAGACCATCGCTGGCGGCCACGCCAGAGTGCAGAGGAGCACTGGTGTGAGGTGTGGGTCCCACCCCGACACTCAGACGACCTGGGAGCACGGCCTGGGGCCACAGAAGGCCAGACCCAGGAGCCAGGGGTGGTGAAATGAAGGGAAGTGGCCACAGCTAAAGCAGCTCTGAGGCTCTGTGATCCTCAGGCTCCAGGCTGGGATTTAGACTGTGATCACAGTGACACTCGGTCACTAGTGACTGGACGCCCGCAGCTCCACGTCCTGACCTGTGAAGGGAGCCACCACCTTCCTCGGAGGAAGTCTAAGTGTGCAGATGGCACCTCCTGTGCTTGCCTTCCTCATGGGAGGAGGACAGCCCTCTTGTTTTTCCCGGGAGTGGGGGCTTCCTGGGACACAGGACTGTCAGGGCTAAACCCAGGCCTGGGCAGGCAGGTGCCCCAGTGGAGGGCTCCTCTTCCCCCAGGGCACAAGCAGGTGAGGGGAAGCAGGGGCCTGGGGTGCCACTCCTGCCCTCCCCGCTCCGTCCCTTGTCCCCGACCAGGCCTCACCTGACTGCAATTAGTGCTTGAGCTGCTTTGCTGCGGACGTTGCTGTTGGCGCTCAGGAGCTTCTCCTTCAGGAGGGGCACCACCTGGCTGGCTAGTGCCTCGGTGGCGTCCTCCATCAGGCAGGCGGCCAGCGTGTCCAGGAGGAGCTCCTGGATCCCTTCCTCCTCCCTCTGCAGCTTCCACACCAGCGAGGGGATCAGGCTGCTGTTGACAATGCCCTTGGCCCCTGCAGGACAGGAGCGGGCGCTGAGGGTGGGCCAGTGGGCCACCCCCCACCTGTCACCTGTGCTGGGAGCCGGAGGGCCGGTGAGGGGGTGGTATTTGACAAGATAAATTGCAAATCCCCCGCTCCTGCTGCCAGGCAGGGGGCCCAAGCAGCCAGCATGTGGCCGTGGGTGACAAGCTGGGGTGAGAACCACGAGGACCCCAAAGGTCCAGCCTTTGGTTGCCTGTTACTGGGGGCACCAGCCTGAAACAGCGGCCTGAGAAGCAGCAGCCACCTCTGCAGGGCCCAGGCACACGGGGAGCCTCCCTCCCCCGCCAACCATGGTGCAGCAGAGAGAAGGATGGGGGACCCATCGATCCCCTCCTTCCCATCTGCAACATCTCTGTGATGCTGGAGCCGCAGATCAGCTTGGCCAGCCGTGGGGACAGGAAGAAAGCTTGCAGTGGGGTCTGAGGTGGAAGATTTAGAGTGAACAGGCCAGCATCTTATGTAAAAAGAGCTGTGCCCCCAACCACAGCTGGTGGGCAATCCACAGAGTCTGGCCAAGGGGTCTAAAGGCACCTGGTGGCGCTCAGGGAGGGGGCTCCACGTGGCACAGCTGGGAGAAAATGCAGCGAGCCACCCCCCTTCCACTGTCAACGGTTCTGCCTAACTCCTTCCAGCCTCTACTGCCACGTGGGGAGTCAGTACACGGCTGACTGCCCAGAGGAGACCCCAGAGATAGCCCAGGCGGCAGCCCAAGTATGCTCACAAGTGCCCAGAACTGCTGGTAGAGCGGCCGCCACAGAAAGAGAGTGGGCACCGGGGAGGGTGGCCCTTCCCTGCCGCTCTAGGTGTCACTACTGCCCGACAGCCCACCCTCTCCCCGGCCTCCCCAGCAGCCCACGCTGCACACCGTGAAGCCGTCCACAGCCCCCATGGAGGTGCCACCAGTGGACACCTCTGTCTTCCGCCTCCCCAACTCAACTATCTAATTTACTCTAGAGAGACAAGTAAACAGGTTCATTAGCCTAAAGTTCTCTGAGTGCCAATTAGCACCAGGGATTTCCTCTTTGAAGATACCACCCAGCCTTCCACCCTCACTCCCCGAGGACATCAAATGGCAGGTGCCTGGGGTTAGGGGGTGGAGAGTCAGGGCAGCATGTCCAGAGGCTCCAGTGCCCCCGGCCAGCTTCTCACTGGGGTGTCGGGTGGAGCTGCTAGCTCTGTCCATTTGTTCTCAGGGTGCTCACAACACAGGAAAAGCAGTTTCCTGCTGCTTCAAGAGTACTGGGCTTTTTAAGATTTAATATACACAGATTTAAAAAAAAAAAAAAAAGGCTAGGTTGGACTCCTAAATGCATCCAGCTATGTGACCTTAGACAAGTTACTTACCCTCTCTGAACCTGGTTTCCTCATTACTAATACAAGCCCACCTGGAAGGGGGTTGTGCAGTGCCTGTGGAGTAGGGGGTGGGAAAGTGCTCTGTGTAAGGGACTGTCATCATGTGCCCAGACACCCGGGCCTGGCACAGCGAGAGTCTCCCAAATGCCGCCAACATTGAGTTCCAGCTGCAGTCAAGCCTGCGGTTGGGGCTGAGGGCTGAGGAGCAGGATACAGAGATAAAAGCTGCACAGTCCCTGCCCTGCAGGAACACCTGTCAGTGGTCCCGAAGCCAACTCTCCTGGGGGCCTGGGGCCTCTCTCCCCTTCAGCCCTGCCCTCCGGCCGGGCCACCACCAGACAGCACATCTGGGCCTCCTGCTCTGGCTCCAGTTCCGGCTCAGGCACCTGCCCCCAGACTACCTGCCTGCCCCGGCCACAGTCTCGCTTGGCCACGACCTGGGCGGCCACTGTCCAGCTCACAGGGCAGAGGTGACAATTTGACCTTCCAAGAAGGACTGTGCTGACCGATGGAGGGATAACGTTCCTGACAGAGGGCCACCTGAGCAAAGGCAGGGGGTGAGGGATTTGTGCATTGTCAATCAGGGCTTGATGGTGGCCTCACTTGCACCCAGGTCTGGGCTTCCCGGGAAAGCCCAGGGAAAGGTGCTGCTGTGGGAGCAACAGGATGGGCACAGGCTAGGGGGAGGGCAGAGGGAGGAAGTCAAGGCCGGAAGCTGGAGGTGATCACCTCCACTGCTCCCCCGATTGGTGAGGAAACCAAAGCCCAGAGGGGCAACTCTAGTGCCCAAGGTCACACAGCAGATGGGGAGAGACCAGGCCTTCAGCCGCCTGGGTTTTTGTTTCCCAGGCATTCGTCCTGGGCCTCTGCTCCTAGAAATGCTGAGCACCGGGACCCAGTTCATTTTGAGACAGAGGGAGATTAAAAATAAAACGCGTGCCGGGTGTGCCTCTCTGCTCGTTCACTTTGCTTCTTTTCAGCTAAAAGGAGAGTCGCAGGCCTGGCTATTTATAATTAACCCAGATCTGCCAAGCCTTGTTCTAGTTGGGGTGGGATGGTGCACAGACCCCCCCAAAATAAACAAATCAGAGAAACCCACCAGGCCCCCAACAGCCTAAGACCCGGCTGGCAGGGTTGGGGTGAGCAGGACAGGTGGGGCATGGAGAAGAGCTGGCCAGGAGGGGGCACCCTCGGGCAGTGGGGAGACCAGTGGGAGAGTCTCCCGGACCGGTCATTACTGCCCGGGTTGACATGTGTAGATGAGGAATTCCAGGTCCTAGGGGCAGGGAGCCGGGCCTTGTGAGGCAGAGGGGCAACGGTAGGAGGCTCGAGTGTGCTCGGGAAGGGCCCAGACTGGCGTGGCTACTGGGCCAGGATGGGCTGGTTGATGGGCCACAAAGCTCAGCTGGGATTGAGGGTCACTATGCCCCTGGAGTGGAACCCCTGGGGTTGAGGTTTGGCCATTTCCTGGGGGCCACCTCAAAGGGTCCCTTGTCGGCCAGCTCTCCCTGCTGGTTGGTGAGGTGCTGGGTGGGCTCAATCACCAGAGCCCCCTTCCCCTTTCTTCCTCGGAGCCGAGCTGTGGTCTCCCGGTCCCGTTCTCCTGGCAAGTGAGGACTCAGCCCCGGGAGCACACATCTGCGCCTGGCGCCCGGGCCCCACCATGCCTTATCTCAACCCGCCCGCCCAGCTTTAGCTTCGTGTGTCCCCCACAGACCCCACCCACCCCCGTGCCTGCCTTTGCTTGTGAGGAACCCTCACTGTCCTCAGCTTACTCGGCCCCTCAATAGCATGTGACATGCTGACCATGTTTTCCTCCCGGGATACTCCCCCCGTGGCCCTGGGACCTCAGCTCCCCACTTCCACCTCTCTGGCTGCTCCTCCATGGGCTTAGCAAGCACCCCCACTCCCTCCGGCATCCCCCACAACGTGGTCCTTGGCCCCCACCATCCCCCCTTTCCCCTCCACCAGGGGCAGCTCCTCTCAGGCTGCAGACACCACACGGCCATCCACTGACGCCAGGTTGCCCGGCCATACCCCGGCCTAGGCTGAACTCAGCCTCATGGACTGACTTCTCCGCTTTCTTATTTTCTCAGGGCTGTCTAGCTGACATTTTTACTTGATTCTGCATTTAGAACGATGCACCCTGTGGGACCAGGCCTACCGTAAATAAACATGAAACAAAAACTTGCCATCCTCCTTCTCGAATTTAAAAAGCTAATCTTCAAACTCTCCAGTGGTTCTTAGGCCGACACCCCAATCCTACACAAGGGCCACCAGCCCGCTGCGACTGTTCCCTGCCTCACCCTAACCTGGCCTTGTGGCATCCTCACAGCTCTGGCCACACTGGTCCTCTGGGTTCGTCCAGGCCTCACACTCCTTCACGCGCAGCGTCTTCCCCATCGTGGAACGTGCTTCCTCCCGCCCCAGGTCATGGGCCACCTCCATCCTGCTCCCCCTGCCACAGAGCCCTGATGGGTCTCCCCCTCCAGGCTTCGCACAACCATCACAGGGGTACTATCGTGCAGAGGGTCTAGCAGGCAGGCTTGGGTCTGTCTAAATGCTAGGACTGTGCCGAGCGCAGAGGAGGTCGTCAGTAAATGCTTGCTGGTTGATGGCTTACAGTCCCTGCTTGACCTTGGGGGAGCTCTCACTTCCAGGGTCAGGGGAGGGGGCAGCAGCCAGCCCCTTGGGCCCCTCCGTGGGCTAGCCCCTCATCTCACATCCGGACTGCTGTGCGGGGTCTTCCCATGCTTGCGGCTAGGTTTGCCCCTGCAAACAGCTCACTTCTGACCCCTGGTACCCCAGTTGCCCTCACCATCTCTGAACATGTGTCAACATGTATCTCCTGTCAGAATCACCCTCTAGGGACCATCTATTGTTATATTTGTCTCCTTTTGATAGAAGAGGGAACTGAGGCCCATACAGGTGAAATAACTCACCCAAGGGTATACTCTCATCCAGCTGAAATAACTTACCCGCAGGGCAGGGCCTGTGCCTGTTTCCTTCCTGCTACCATGGCCATTGGCCTCTGAGTGGACCTCTGGGCAGAGGCCCAGCCTGACCCAGCCTGGCAGTGTGGAGGACATGCACACAGCAGCCCCCGAGAGTCGGCCACTTTCCACTGGTCCTCAGGGGCCACCCCGAGCCAGCATGTGCCAGGTCTAGTCTAGGTCCGCCTCAAAATGCCCATCACCAACATCTGTCCTGTCTCTGACCATTTAGGCAACACCTTCACAGGTGGGCAACCTCGCTGGGGGATGCAGTGCAATGGTCTCCATTTCACAGCAGAGGAAACACTCTCAGAGCGGTTAGGGGATGACATTGAGATGCCACAGTGTCCAGCTGGCAGAGCTGGTCCCTGCCTTCTGACCACAGGCCTGGCCCTATCTCCCTCTGCCAACGGTCCGTTCCAGTGCTTCTGCCCACCAGTGGGGTGATCCTAGTAATAGGACCGTGGAGGTGTAGGGTGATAGGGAACTGTTAGCCGGGAGCATCTGCATTTACCTGGATGCTCTGGGGTGCACAGAGCTTCAGGTTACAGTGATGGAAAGGACAGAGTGGAACTAATGTCTTGGTTCTGGCCTGAGTCTCTAATGCACAGGAGTGAGGGGCTC